TATAGGGCTATGAGGCTATCAGGCTATAGGGCTATATGGATATAGGGTTTTATGGCTATAATACTATCTGGTTACAGGGTTATTTGGGCTATAGCCCTATAGGGCTACCGGGCTATAGGGCTTTAGGGCTATGGGGCTATGGGGCTATAAGGCTATAAGGCTATAGGGCTATAAGGCTATAGGGCTACCAGGCGCCCGGGCACCTGGGCACCCCTGGGCACCTCCGGGCACCCCTGGGCACCTCAGGGCACCCCTGGGCACCCGGGCAGGCCACCGAAATCGGCGACGAGCCTCACGTAACCATACGAATCCGCAAGGACATCAAGGCAAGCTCTGATTGGGGAATAATGCTGATTCGCAACAAGCCAAATTTCTGGAACTCCCCAAACTATGTGTGTGAAATTCAAGGTAGCACGATCTGCCGTCGCTAGACTGGGAAAAATCCCCCCCTCCAGGATCGTGGAAACTGGCGGGGGGGAAACGGTGGGGGTAAAACTTCCCCGACCCCTCCCCGGGAACCGGGGGTGAGGGAGGGGTCTATATGTATATATATATATATATAGAGAGAGAGAGAGAGAGAGAGAGAGAGAGAGAGTCCTCCCCCCCCGCCCCGGGAAGAACCTGGGGAGGGGGCCTCCCCGTTCGAACCGGAAGCGGGGGGGGAGTCCCCCCCCCGCCCCAGCTCGAACCAGAAGATATGGGCCCACGGGGGGGGGTCGGGCCAGGGCTGGGGCCGGGGCCGGCCCCGGCAGGCCGGGGCCAGGGCCGGGGCCAGGGCCGGGGCCCGGGGCCTGGGGCCAGGGCCTGGGCCAGAGAGGGGGGCTCCACTCCCCTCCCCTCGGGTCGAAGTGGAAAGAACGGGGGGGGGAACCTCCTTCGAGCTTTGTTGAGCTGTTTTGAGCTCTGTTTGAGCATTGCTTGGGAGTTGCGTGGGATTTGTTGGAGCTTTGTCGGGGCTCTGTCGGAGCTTTGATTGGTATGTGTAGGAGCTTTGTTTCGGCTGTGGTTGAGCTTTGGTGGAGCTTTCGTGGAGCTTGGTTTGAGATGTCCGCGAGCTCGGTTTGACCTTGGTCTAAGCTATGTGTGAGCTTTGCTTGCGCTTTGTTGTAGATATGTTAGAGCTTTGTTGGTGTTGTTTCTGCTTTGGTGGAGCTTTGTTGCAGCTTTGATTCAGCTTAGGCTGACCATTGCTGGGGCTTTGTTGGAGCTTTGGTGGAGCTTGTTTGGGCTGTGTCTAAGCTTTGGTTGAGTTGTGTTTGCGCTTTGCTGGGGCTTTGTGTGAGCTGTGTCTGAGCTTTGATTGGGCTTGGCTTGAATAGTGGCTGCGTTTGGTTGGAGCTTTGTTGGAGCGTTGTCTGAGTTTTGGTTGAGCTCTGTCTGAGCTTTGGCTGAACATTGTCTTAACTATGGTTGAGCTATGTTGGAGCTTTGTTGGAGCTTTGTTGGTGCTTTGTTTGAGCTTGGTTCGATCGCTGTTTGAGCTTTGCTTGAGCTTCGTGGGAACTTGCGACGACAATGCTAACGACGACGGGAACGGCGACGGCGACGGCGACGGTTTGGACATAGTGGGACATTAATGCAACCTTCACTCGGTGGTGGGACAAGATTGGAGGGAATAATATCACATCCAAAGGGGACACCGTTCGGACGGGCAGGGCATTACATGCAATATTCACTGAGTGATGGGGCGTCCAGTCGGGCGGGCGGGCGGGACAGGAACTGCAACCTTCACTCTGTGATGGGACAATATTGGGCAACATATATCACAACCACCGAAGACGCCGGTCGGGCGGCTGGGACGTAACATGAAACCTTCACCCAGTGATGGGGCGTCATCATCATCAACATCATCATCACCATCATCATTACCACCAACCATCATCATGACCGTCGTTATCATCGTCATCATCATCAACCCCATCAGCATCATCATCAGCAGCATCATCATCATTAGCATCATCGTCATCATCGTCATCGTCATCACCATCACCATCACAATCATCATCATCAGCATCCTCCTCATCATCATCACCATCATCATCATCATCATAATCATCACCATCATCATCATCATCATCATCATCATCATCATCATCATCATCATCATCGTCACCATCATCATCACCATCATCGTCATCAGCATCATCATCATCGCCCAGGGTGCCCTGGGGAGGGTCCAGGCTCCTGTTCGAGAATGACGACGTCATGCGCCACCATTCGACATGCGCCCCACTTGCCTCACTTGCCCCACTACGTGCCGAAGCCGCCCGCGCACGCTCGAACTGTTATGAGCTTTGTGTAAGCTTTGATGGAGTTTTGTTCCCCACATCCAAAGTGGGGTTCTTGTTTTCTCTGGACACCCCGCGCAGGAACAGGAACCCACCATCATCATCATCATCATCATCATCATCATCATCATCATCATCATCATCATCACTCATTCCTCACTCACTCACTCACTCATCATTCCTCACACACTCACTCACTCACTCACTCACTCACTCACTCACTCATCAGCACTAACATTTGATGATGAGTGTGCGCGTGAGAGAGTGTGATGAGCATCATCATCACCAGTCAGTCAGTCACTCACTCACTCACTCACTCACTCGCCTTGGGCCTCGTCTGTGAGTGAATTGCAAGGAAGTCTCAGGCGGGAGCCCCCTCCCTATGGGGCCCGCGGATCATGTTACTAATCCGAGCGCGTCATCCAATTCCTGAAACTGTCGCCACTTTTGGGCTCTCGCGCTGCCAGAACGCCATTCCCAGGCCACATCTGTGAGTGAATTGCGACGAAGTCTCAAGCGGGAGCCCCCTCCCTATGGGGCCCGCGGATCATGTTACTAATCCGAGCGGGTCATCCAATTCCTGTAACTGTCGCCACTTTTGGGCTCTCGCGCTGCCAGAACGCCATTCCCAGGCAACATTTTGAATGCCCGGAGCCAACTGTAAGCCACTTCGTGTTCTTCATGCTCCCAGAACACCATTCCCGGGCCACATTTTGAATGCCCGGAGCCAGCTGTAGGCCACTTCGTGTTCTTCTCCCGGGCCACTTTCTGAATGTCCGGAGCCAAAACAGGAGGGCGAGGTCGGGGGCAACGTAGGGAGCGGGGGGAGGGCCCGCGCCAGGGCGAGAAGAAATATACGCAGAAGGGACAGCCAGGACGCCTCACCAACCACGAGGACGACGGTGAGGGCTTTTTCCAGATTCGCCCAGAGGATTCTCATGTGGGGTCCTTCCGTCGGAGTAATTTGAGCTCTGTTGGAGCTCTGTTGGAGCTTGGTTGGAGCTTTGTTTGACATGGTTCTGAGCATTGTTTGGGCTTTGTTTGGATTATTTTCGAGCATATTTGGGCTGTGTTTGAGCTTTGCCCCCCGCCCTGGTCGAATTCGAGGGGGGATCGTCCTCCGTCTAGTCCGGTTCGGACGGGGGCGGGGGGGAGAGAGTCTGAACCCCTCCCCCGATTCGAACTGGTGACTGGGGGGCGGGGATCGGGTCGGGCGAAAGGGGGGGATAGCAAAGGGGGGGGGTGAGAATCAGCTCGCGTAGCTGATTTTCCTGGCGCCTCCCGGTGCCGGGAGGCGCCAATGTATCGAGGAATGGCCCCTCGGTGAGGCCGAAACCAGCTGCATGCAGCAAATGTCGTAACCCCCCCTTTCCCAATCCCCCCCTTTCGCCCGGCCCGAGGGGAATCTGTGCCCCCACCCCTCTTCCGCTTCGAACCAAGACAGGCCAGGGGCGGCGTGGCTCCGGCCCCGGCCCCGGCCCCGGCCCGGCTGCCCTGGCCCCTGGCCTGGCCCCGTCCCTGGCCCCGACTGGCCCCGGCTGGCCTCGGCCCCGGCCGGCCCCAGCCCGCTTCTCTCCCCCCCCCATACGAACCGCAGGGGGGTATAGCCCAGCCCCCCCGGTCCCAGCCCTGCCCCGGCCCCGGCCCCAGCCCCGGCCCGACCAGCCCGCCCCCCCCCGGTTCGAACGGGGGGGGAGGGAGGGGGGGGCTTCCCCCCCTCCCCACCTCACCCTCTCCGCCGCCGCTCCCAGACGGGAAGGGGGGTCCTTTCCACCCGCCCCGCTCCCCCAGCTCGGAGGGGGGGCGTGGAACTTCATACACACGCACACACACACACACGCACACTTTGTTCGAAACGGGGGGGTGGGGGCTTCCCAGCAGTGGTAGGCGGCTCTCCTTCTCAAACTCAACACTCACACGAATGAACTCAAACAAATTCTGGGACTTCTCGAATCGCGTGCCAGGTGATCGGACGTCCTGGGATGGGCAGGCGTGTCTCTTCAGATTGGACGGCGCTCTCGTTTGTGGAACTTGGATCCAGGCCCTCTGGCTTTGTTTGGCGCAGCTGACTCAAAGCCGATGCTGTTGAAGTCGGAATTCGGCGCAGTTGCGGCCATCGCACGCAACATCACCGTTGCCAGCACTGGCACCGCACCCCTTTCACACTCTGTCAATGAAGGACGAGACGCCCTCGGGAAGGCGCTCGAGATCCCCAAGACTGCCCGAGTGGGTCCCACGACGCCTCAGAAGCCCAGACGGCCCAGTGGCCCCGACGGCCAGAGGACGGCCCGAGAAACCCGCAGCACGGCCCAAGAATGCCCCAACTCTCCATCGCTCGAACTTCCGTTCCCCGTGCACGTTTCGGCTTCGTGCGTGTACTTTCTCGCAAGATCACCCAACAGGCTCCTCGATGGCCCTCGCCGATGAAACACATGCTCGCGTCCAATCGACACCAAGCCAAACGAACCCCAAGACGGCCCCAAGATCTGGTCATGCCCCGAGCAGATTCTAACGAGTCTCTTCGGAAGAGCTCGATTGAACCATCGCGCCCAGGACGGCGCAAAGGCCCCCAAGAAGACCCCAAGAGGTCTCCAGCGCTTCGGCGCTGCGCTTGCCGCCGCAGGCAGCTGGATAATACGCGATGCGACAACTCACGAGGCAACGGCGAGAAAAGCGAGAGGTCCATCTTAGCTCGGCCCAGAGGAGGTGAACTCAGATACTGATGCTGGTGCTGCAGCTCGCGCCCGGCGGCACCGGTCGATCACCCCCGTGGGGCTGCAGCTGCCGCTCGCCCAGGGCCCCCGCTGCCGCGCGCTCGAGGCCCCGGGGCAGCTCCCGGGCGCCTCCGAGGCCGGCCAGCGCCTCGAGCTTGACCCGCCAGGCGCTGGCCGCCTGCTCTGGCGGGGCGGCCACGGCGGAGGGCCAGCGGAGGCGCTGGCTCGACGGGCCCTGGCCCGCGCCCTCCTCCAGGCAGGCGCCGCAGGGCAGCAGGGCAGGGCCCCGGCCGCCCTCCGCCTCGGGCACGGCGCCGCGGCCGCTGCGGCTGGGCCCGCCCTTCCCGCGCCTGCGCAGGCAGCTCCTCGACTGCCGCCAGGTGCACGGGCCGACGCAGCAGACCGCGACGCAGGCCGACATCACCACCGCGAGCAGCTGGGCGCTGGCGCCGGCGCCCGCCGCGTCGCCCGCCCGGTCGGAGGGGGCCGTGGCCCCGGCGGCGGCCACGAGCTCCGCGGTGGCCTCCAGGTCGCTGACGCCAAGGACCGTGAAGTTGAGCGCCCCCGTGGCCAGCTCCCGCGCCAGGACCGCCGCCAGCCCGTCCGCCGCCAGCAGGAGGCCCTGCGCCGCGAGGTTCGCGGCGAGCGCGCCCGCACACGGCACGGTCGCGGCGAAGGAGACCAGAACGTGGGCGGAGCCGGCGCTGGCCTCGGCCACGGCCGCCGTGGAGAGGAGGCGGCTGCCGAAGGCGACGCGGGTGATGTCGACCATGTCGGGCGTCGCAGCGGGCAGCACGGCCGCGACGCCGGAGGCCAGCGCAGCACTGACGGCGCGGTCGCCCCGCTCGAAGGCGCGGGCCAGGTCGGCGGGCTCCGACAGGGCCAGGGAGAAGCTTCCGGTCAGGAGTGCGACCGAGGCTGGCGCTGCGGTCGTAGTCCACGTCGGGCTCACAGGGACCGCAGCGCCATCGGCAGCGTCGGCTGCGCAGGCGTGCGGGCACTTCTCGATCGCTCCTGGCATCCCGCAGTCCACCAGGCCGCAGAACCAATCCTCCGCGAACGAGCTGCTCACGGTCGACGCTGAGAACATCGCCACTGTGGACAAGCCAGTGCTCGATGAGACTGTCGGGCTGGAGGTTGCCGTGGCAATCCTGGTGGTCGTGGTGCTGCTCGTCGTGACTGTCGACCTGGAAGTTCCCGAGACTGACGAGCTGGTGACCGAACATGCAGTCCTGGTGGCCGTGGTGCTGCTCGTCATGACTGTCGACGCAAGAGCCCCCAACACTGTCGAGCTGAGGATCGACGTTGCACTCCTGGTGGCCGTGGTGGTGCTCGACGTGACTGGCGATAACCTTCACCGTGCCCCCTGGCACGCACGCTCAGCCGTGGTAGGGTGCGAAGCCCTGTCTGTCTGGCAGGACTTCTGCGATCTTCCAAGGGACCCCCCGCCCTCCGGGCAGCGCCCACCTGCATTGGGACGCACCGAGACATGCCAGTACCAGAACGTCCTCCTTGGAGGCGCGCGTCCGACCCGAACATACAGTATACCCATCTTGCAGCAGATCGTTTCCCGAGCGGTGTGGCCAGGCAGCGCCCGCCACGACGCAGACATGGTGGACCAGTGTGTTAGGGGTGACGCCGATGCGTCCCTCCCCCTCCCGAGGCTCGCTGGGCGGCCCGACGGTGCCCTGGCGCTCCCTGAGGCGTCGGAGATTCCCAGGAAAGCTGCCCCAGACGGCCAAGGCAGACCACCGAGCCCGCCACGATGGCCCCATGTGCCTCCAAGAAGCCGAACGTTACCGCCAGACAGCCTCACAGGCCCACGAGACGGCCAACGTAGATCCAAGAGGACCCCCACTGAGGCAATCACATATCGAAGTCGTGCGAGTCTATGTATGTGCGCAGACATGTGTACATGTGTCGAGGGCCTTGGCCTGAGATCGCAGTGGAACGGAGAGCCCCTTCACCAGGAACTCACTTTCGGTTTCGGATTCGTGTTCGTGTCGCGCGTGCGGGCGAGGCGAAGCTGCGTGGGCGCGCGAGAGGAATGACCCCGCCGTCGCCAGGGCGATTCGGATGCAGTGGACCGCCCCCCCCTGCCGCCGGTGGGCGCGCGGTGGGCTGGGGTGTCCCGCCGTGGTGTCATGTGGTGTCCCGTCGGTGTTCCCTCGGCGGTGGGCGGCGCCTTGGCGTCGATAGTGAAATCGATAGTGAGATCGATGATGAGTTCACTAAAATGGGATGAATAGCGATATCAAAAATGGCATCAATATCAAGGTCAAAAGTGATGTCGACAATGAGGTGAATTGTGACCTCGGTGATGAGATCGATGATGAGATTGACCATGGGATCGACAGAGAAACCGATCGTGATATTGATAATGAACTCGATAGGGAGATCGAAAGCGAGATCTATGGTGAGATATATCGTGTCGTCAGGTTCATAGTGAGGTCGACCGAGCGTGATCGATTATGCGAGGTCAATAGTGGGATCGATCGAGCGAAATCGAAAGCGAGGACGATAATAACATTACATCGCAGCGCAACATCGTCATCACGCGTCGTCGCTCGAGGTCGCGTCACCAGCATCGTCATCATCCCACCCATCGCATTTGCCAGCAATTGGTCTTTCCCGCCCTACCCCCCCCCAACGGCACGAACACGAAACCGAAACGACACGCACGGCGCGAACAAGAAACCGAAACCGAGTTCCCAGTGGGGGGTTCTCCGTCCCGCTGCGATCTCAAGCCCCAGCCTCCGAAACCTATGCAATCTATCTTGTGTACTATAGGTTGCGCGATCTATGTGGAGCACGCATCATACTGCAATACACGTGGTGAAATCTAAGTGGTACAATTGTTGTTGTGCAGTCTATGTGGGCAACATACGTGGCTCAATTTATGTGGTTCAATATGTGTTGTACATTATATGTGGAGGAACCTATGTCGTGCGCAATTCATGTGGCCCAATCAATGTAGTGCATTGTACGTGGTTCATATCTACGTGGTGCAATATACGAAGTACGCAACATACGTCGTGCAAACTATATGGTACAATCTATGTGGTGCAATCTACGTTGCGCGAAATATGTGGTGCAACCTATGTTGTGCAATATACTTCGTGCGGCGGGGGCGAGCGGCGACGGCGGCGACGGGGAGGCGATGGGGCGGCGACGGCGAAAACATATCCGCCGGACCGCCAGACTGGCCCAGGCGAATGGTGGCGACGGGGTGGCGACGACGGCAACACAACCGCCTCACAGCCACATCAGCTCCCCCCTTTCGAAAAAATGAGAAGCCGAAGTACAAACACTGTGCGATACATGTATATATATACATACATGTGAATATATGTGAATATACAGACATCAAATACATTCTCGCGTTGCTAAGTCTACAACTACATCCCCAGTGTATTATGTGTACATGTCTGTGCAAACATACAGACAAACGCGTGCGCATGGACACACACACACAAATAACGTACGTGGCCATGCCCATACAAAAAAACCTGTAACACGGAAGCCAGAAAATATGGACAACACGAGGTATTGTACGCCGGGTCCGAGGAGGAGGAGGAGGAGGAGGAATGAGGAGATGAAGAAGCAAAGGAAAGAAAGAGCAAAGGAAAAAACTGTGGATAACCAGGTGTGGGGTTGCCACACCTTGCGATGAGTGCGGTTGAGGAGGAGATCCCGCACCGTGCAATTGCAGTTGACAGTAAACCCCGAGGTCTACGTTGGGAGGATGCCTCGGGCGAAACTGCAAAATTCGAAAAAACAAAAACATATTCAAATACATCGGGTTCCAATGCGTGGGGGATGCACCACGCGAAACTGCATCATTGTCCAAAAAACCGCCGACAAATCAATGAAACCGATTACGCTTTTGAAGGTTGAGCGCCCGCACGTTGAAAACCCGCTGCGCATTGCGACACTGTCCGCGCGACACGCGCGAAGGGCTTTCTGAATTGCGAGGATGCTTACAGCGACGCAGCTGGACACGTCGTGAAAGGGACCCGCCGTCTCCAACGAATCGCATATGAGCTCTACTGCCCCGATGATGTGCGCAAATATGTATATAAGCACTAAGCACATGTGTATATACACACGCAAGACTGCAATGGCGCTTCGCGCCATGCACTTTGGCCCTTCAAGATCGGCGCGCAGGCGGCAGGCGGAGCGCGGGAGAGAAAGAGAAAAAGAGAGAGAGAGAGAGAACAAAAAGAAAGCGAGAGAATACCCAACAGGACGAGGGCTCCTTGTTGCCGTTCGCCCCATCGTCATTGGAAATCTGTTATAGATCACCTGTCCCTCATGTTCCCTCTTCAATTGTACTCGTCGTTTGCGAACGCGCCCCTGCTACAATTTTTTCATGATATTGCGGGGCCTCCTCCTTGGAGGACTTTCTGGGAATTTCGCGACAGCATTTTGGGGCTGTTGGTGGTCTGTGAGTGCCGGTAGGGTTCCACTGGAAGTGTTTGTTTGATCCTGCTGCGCTTCCCTGGGCGCAGTCCTGAACCCCGCCTTCCAATGCATGCTAGGTGTGAAAGTCGAACTGTCCGACGGCAACAACATAGGCGTGTCAATGCAAATGAAGAACGGAATATCATCTTCCGGATGAAAGTTCAGACAACGCACTTGTGGAACTCGAAAACATAGTCCATACCTGAGTTTGCACCTGATAACAAACTCTCAAACATCATGCATCATAGGTTATGCATGTGCGCACGTGCATACGTGAAAGGATGGTGGATGTGTGTGTGGTTGTAGGTATGTGTGTTTGTATGTGTGGATGTGTATGTGTGTATGTATGGATGTGTATATGTGTGTATGTATGTCTAAATGTATGTACGGATGTATGCATGCATGTGTCTGTGCATGTATGTATGTATGTGCGTACGTATGTTGCATGTATGTATGGATGTACGTGTGTAGGTAGGTATGGACGTATGCATGTGTGTAATTGTGTATGGTTATATGTATGTAGGTGTGCGTATG